CACAATGTTAGAACTAGGAAAAGGATTCAACAAAGTTTCAGGATACAAAGTCAACACACAAAAGTCAGTTGCATTTCTAGACATTAGCAATGAACAATAAAAAAAGGAAATTAAGAAAATTTCATTTACAATAGTATCAAAAAGAAAAATATACTTAGGAATAAACTTAATGAAGAAAGCAACGGCCGGCCCCGAGGCTGAGTGGTTAAGTTCGTGTGCTCTGCTTTGGCAGCCCAGGGTTTCGCCAGTTTGAATCCTGGGTGGGGACATGGCACCACTCATCAGGCCATGCTGAGGCAGCGTCCCACATGCCACAACTAGAAGGACCCACAACTGAAAATACACAACTATGTACTGGGGGGCTTTGGGGAGAAAAAGGAAAAATAAAATCTTAAAAAAAAAAAAGAAGAAGAAAGCAAAAGATTGTACACTGAAAACTATAAAACATCACTGATGGGGCTGGCCTGGTGGCGCAGTGCTTAAGTGCTCACATTCCACTTCAGCAGCTTGGGGTTCCCCAGTTCAGATCCTGGGCGTGGACATGGCACTGCTTGGCAAGCCATGCTGTGGTAGGCATCCCACATAAAGTAGAGGAAGATGGGTACGGATGTTAGCTCAGGGCAAGTCTTCCTCAGCAAAAAGAGGAGGATTGGCAGCGGATGTTAGCTCAGGGCTAATCTTCCTCAAAAAAAAGCATCACTGAAAGAAATTTGAAAATGACACAAGTAAATGGAAAGACATCCCATGTTCATGGATTAGAAGACTTAATTTGTTAAGATGTCAATACTATCCAAAGTGATCTATAGGTTTAATGCAATCTCTATCAGAATCTGAAAGGCAATTTTCTTTGCAGAAAGAGAAAAATCCATCCTAAAATTCATATGGAATCTTGAGAGACCCCAAAAGCCAAAACAGTCTTAAAAAACAAGAATGAAGCTGGAGGCATTATATTTCCTGGTTTCAAAACATATTACACAGCTACAGTAATCAAAGCAGTGTGGTACTGGCATAAAGACAGACATATAGACCAATGGAAAAGAATAGAGACCCCAGAAATAAACTTTCATGGATACGGTCAAATGATCTTCAACAAGGGTGTGAAGACCACTGAATAAGGAAAAGACAGTCTTTTCAATAAATGGTGTTGGGAAAACTGGATATCCACATGCAAAAGAATGAATTTGGACCCTTAACTAACACCATAAACAAAAATTACTTAAAAAGGATTAAAGACCTAAATGTAAGACCTAAAACTATAAACTCCTACAAGAAAACATAAAGGAAAAGCTTCATGACCTTGGATTTCACATTGATTTCTTGGATATGATACCCAAAGCAAGGCAACACAAAGCAAAAATAGACAAATGGGACTACGTCAAACTTAAAAACTTTTGTGCATCAAAGGACACAATAAACCGAGTAAAAAGGCAACCTTTGGAAAATATTTGCAAATTGTATATCAGATAAGAGGTTACTATCCAGAATTTATAACAAATTCTTTCAAACTCAACAACAAAACCCGAAATAACCTGATTAAAAAATGGATAAAGGACTTGAATAGACACTTCACCAAAGATGATACACAAATGACTGACAAGTATATGAAAAGATGTTCAGCATCAATGATCGTTAGAAATGCAAATCAAAACCATAATGAAATATCACCTCATACCCGTTAGGATGGATATTAATCAAAAAGCAGAAAATAACAAATGCTGGCAAGGATATGCAGAAATTAGAAACCGTGTGTGCTGTTCTTGGGAATATAAAATGGTGCATCTTCTATGGAAAACAGTAGGGCTGTTCCTCAAAAAATTAAAAATAGAATTACTCTATGATCCAGGAATCCCATATTTGCTTATATAGCCCAAAGAATCGAAAGCAGAGTCTCAAACAGATGTTTGTACACCCATGTTCATAGCAGCATTATTCACAATAGCCAAGAGGTGGAAGCAACCCAAGTGTCCATCAACAGATGAACAGACAAACAAAATGTGGTATATACATACAGTGGACTATTATTCAGCCTTAAAAAGGAAGGAAATTCTGTCACATGCAACGTGGATGAACCTTGAGGACATTATGCTAAGTGAAATGAGCTAGTCACAGGAAAACAAATACTGAATGATTCTACTTATATGAGGTACGTAGAGTAGTCAAATTCATAGAAACAGAAAGAAGAGTGGCGGTTTCCAGGGGCTGGGGGTGGAGGAAGGAAACAGGACCTTGTTGACTAATGAGTACAAGTTTCAGTTTTGCATGATGACAAAGTTCTGGAGATCTGTTTTACAACAATGTGAATAAACTTAACACTCCTGAACTGTACACTTAAAAATGATTAGCATGGTAAATATTGTGTTATGTGTTTTTTACCACCGTTAAAAACAAAACATTTAAAAATTCAACATCCTTTTGTGATAAAAACACTCAATAAACTAGGACCAGAAGGGAACTCCCTCAACGTGGGAAAGGCCATATGTGAAAAATACATGGCTAACATCTTACCCAGTGGTGAAAGAATGGAAGTTTTTCCTCTAAGATCAGGAATAACACAAGGATGCCCACTCTTGCCAATTCTATTCAACACAGTACTGGAAGTCTTAGCAGAGCAATTAGACAAGAAAAGAAATGAAATTGGAAAGTGAGAAGTACAATTCTCTCCTTGTAGATAACATGACCTTATGTATATAAAATCCTAAAAAGTTATATTTCTATACTCTGCTGTGAATAGTCTAAGAAGCAAATTGAGAAAACAATGCCATTTACAGTAGCATCAAAAAGAATAAAATACTTAGGAATACGTTTAGCAAAGGAGGCAAAAGACTTGTACACTGAAAGGTATAAAACATTGCTGAAAGAAATTAAAGAAGGCCTAAATGAGTGGAAAGACAGCCTGTGTTCATGGATTGGGAGACTTACTCTCGTAAAGACGACAGTAGTCCCCAAAGTGATCTACAGATTTGAAGCAACCTTATCAAAATCCCAACTGTGTTTTTTGCAAAAATAGAAAAATCCAACCTGAAATTCATATGAAATCTCAATGGACCCCCAAGTAGTCAAGATAATCTTGAAAAAGAAGAACAAAGTTGGAGGAATCCTACTTCTTCATGTCAAAACTTACTACAAAGCTGCAATTATGAAAACAATGTGGCACTGGCATAAGGCTAGACCTATAGATCAACGGACCAGAATAGAGAGTCCAGAAACAAATGCATACATCCATGGTCAATTGATTTTCAACAAGGGTGCCAAGGGGACAGAACAGTCTCTTCAACAAGTTGTCCTATGAAAACTGGATATTCACCTGCAAAAGAATGAAATTGGATCTTTACCTTACACCATATACAAAAATTAAAACTAAAGTGGGTCAAAGACTTAAATTTATGAGCTAAAATGATTAAACACCTAGAAGAAAACATAGGGGGAAAGTCTTCATGACCTTGGATTAGGCAGTGGTATCTTAATTTTGACACCAAAATCACAGGCAACAAAAGAAGAAATACATAAACTGGACTTATCAAAATGAAAAGCTTTTGTGCATCAAAGGATACTATCAAGAGAGTGAAAAGACAACCCACAGGATGGAAGAAAATATTTGCAAATCATATATCTGATAAGGGATTAATATATAGAATATAGAGAGATTTCTCCTCTCTGGGGCCCATGTGTGGGTCAGGAGTAGACCCTGAGCATCGCCTTTGGTCTGAGAAGGAGCTCCCGGGAGTGTGAGTGCTGACACTCCCCTCTGGGTCAGGAGATGTTGGATGTTCTGATCACAGAGCGAGCCCTCTCAGTCCTCCTTGGAAGGGGCCGTCTCTCTCCAGGGGATGTGGACCTTTTTTCTAGGGGCTGTCCCATATCAAGAATTCTGGGTTTGCCCTTCTTCCAGGTGTGCCATTAAAGAAGCTCCACTAATTCTGCACTGACTGTATGGCTGATTGAATGACGGGCAGGTGACCATGACTGAATGAGTGGCTGGATGTAGATGGCTCTTGCAGTCCCGCTATCCGTGCTCTCAGGAATTCCCATCCAGGAATCAGAAGACTTTTCTCCTCCACGCAGGTGCCCTGTGTCTCTGAATCCAGCCCCACATATATGGAAGGGGAGTGAGTGCATCTGAGGATGGGGTTCTGGTTCAGGGTTTGGGAGGGTCCCATCACCCCCGAAGGCCTTCTGACGTGCCCAGTGCCATGCCAGTGTCGGCCTTGGAATTGGTGGGCTGCTGATAAACTTGCCAAGTTCTCTCTGAGCAACAATCCAAGAAGGTCAAGACATTCATCAAAGAAAGGGCTGGTGACAAGACCTCATCGTTTTGAATGGGTGAATGTGATAATAAATTTTTTTGTGTCCTTATCGTAAGCAACTATTCCATCAGGTGAGTAGACCATCCACCAATGTACCAACAGCCCTTGAAAAAGGACTCAGAATATATACAGGTGAATGAAATTTGGGTTGATTGTTTTCTGTGGCTTAGCAAAGTAAACGTAAAAGGAAAAATGAACTGCTGTCCCTAGGGAAAAGTAGTAGCCTGAAAACTTTAAACAGGAAGGAGAAATTAATATTAAAAAAAAATTAATCATGAAAAATTAGGAATAGTTTTATAAATAAAGAGCTTTCTGACTTTTAGAAATCTGTCCTGCTTTATTTTTACTCCCGCAGCCTTCACCCATATTTGTGGGCCATCTTGGGGAAAGTCTCAAAGGCAGGTCAGAATGACAACAGGAGCCAGAAGAAAAATTATGACACTAAATCTCATGAGATTTGGGGCAAAATTTCTAGCTGTATATCTTTACTGCTCAGGACATCCGGTGCAATCACTTTCTTCCTTAGGAGTTAGGATTCCCCTTCCCAAGGCAAAGTATTTTAGAGTATAATTTCACGTATCCATTGGGCTTGTATCATTTATGCACTGTATTTATGGACTGCTTTAGGTATCACAGAGAAAACTATGTCAGTTCTGAACTACTCGTATTAACACACCTTTATTTATTTCACCTGAGATGAAATTCTACTGCAAGTGTTTTCCAAAGTCCCGTATGAGGCACCATTTGATGAAACAGGAACAGCAGGCAAATCAATTACGAAGAGAGCCATGAAAGAAAGCAAGTATATGTGTTTAAAACTACAAGCGTACATATTTCTATAGGCCTAGGGATTGTACTTATGTACCATGCTATCATTTTATCATCCTTTAAAACAGCTACTTGTGCGGCAGAGACCAATTGAGATATGAACGAAAGAATTGTCTGAAATCCTTTCTATGACTTCCAAGTCTATGGTATGAAGTGTGACTATCCCTCTATTTTGGCGTGATCCCTGAAGTTCGTGTGTCAGACAGGCTCTTGCTTTCTGGAGGCTGTTCAAAGGACAGGAACCAGAATTGCAAGTGGTGTTCATGGTTCCTGACAACAGAACCCCTGCAGAGTGTTATCACTTTGTGCCGGGCACGCTTTATACCCGCACGTGCATGACCTGGTTTGATGCTTAGCTCAGCCCTTGGTGAGAGCTGGTGCAGTCACAGTGCCTCATTCCATGGATAAGACCAAGGCAAAAAAAAATCACTTGCTTTAGGCACATCCATAGAAATAAAACTGAAGAATATCCTCTTCCAAAAAGTAGCCTCATATTCTTATTTTTTAAAAGTAGCACTTTGAGAATTAAGAAAGGTATTTGATCACAGGTCCTGAGGATGGAATTGTGTATCAGAAATTGCCAGCAGTGGACGGAAGTGCCTTGGGCAGCAGCGGGATGAACACAGTGTTGGAATTTTGCATACAGATGTGAATTCCAGTTCCTGGGGTTCATTTCCCACAGCATCATCCTGGGCCCCACCTCTGCCATCAGCAGTCAGCTGGTGCCTCTCTCTACACTGACACATAAACTTTCAAACACATATTTCCAAGTTGACTTCTATATTAACATTTCAACACTTAAACCAAAATACGGGCCTAAGGTGCTTGTAAGTGGGTACTGATAAAAACTTCTCTCTTTCAATTTTTTTCATGTTTTTCATCAAAGGAGCCAGTGTTGCTGCTGGGAATTCTGCTGAACCAGAATTTTTCCTTGGCAGCATGGACAGAATTTCCAGTAATGGTAAATGCAGATGGATAAAATTGGAGTTTGGGATCAATAAGTAATACCTCTTCTTCCTCTTGCCTGAGTTCAGAACTAAATGTGAGACTGAGCTAAAGGTCCAGCAGATGGAGTTCAAACTGTCTTCTCGAGAAATATTTGGCTGAATAATCTGGGTGCTTTGCCCTGAGCCAGGCAGAAGGCCCTAATCTCTGGTAACGTTTAGGATACCCCTGACCTCCCCAAACCCCCACCGTGAGAGTTTGCTTCTGTAAAATTCCCAGCGTCAAGGGCAGATTGGGAGGTTTGCTCTCTGCAGGCAGATGGATGCCAAAAAAGAGAGAAACGAGCTAGCTACGGCCACCCAATTCCTTCTCCCAAACTTACCAGTGAAGTCCCATTCTCCCCCTGGGCCGCAGCTAGTGAGGTGTGAGCACATTCCTGAGCGATACCCTGAAGACCTCTCTCCATCCTCAGGAGGAATGTGGGAAGGCACCCCCTTCCGCTGATGAGCAAAGGCTCCTCTTACAGATGCAGCTGTGGTGAAGGCAGATCGGCTCTGAAGACAGGCTGAGGAACTAGAATCCCATGAAGCATTTCTTCCCTCAAAAGATTTAAAGATTTAAAAGGAAAAACAGACCAATATGTCACTGTCTGGGCTCGTAAATCTGTGGTCTTTCCTGGGCATGGGAATATGAACTAGGTCAGTGGTATGTTGCATTATCATTATGCCCCCATTTTACATATGTGGCTCCTGAAGTTAAGTAAGTTGCCGCAGGTCAAGCAGCCGGGGAGGAGACAGTGCTGGTGTTTGAACTCAGGATGCTTGTAAGAGACGCCAGTTATGCCTGCATAGTGTGCCCATTTTAAAACACCTGGAAGAACTGTTAGGCAGAAAGAGTTTCACAGACATCACGTAGAGCAATGATGTGATGACGTAGATTTCCTAACTAGACCAGACGCCCAGTGTCCCCAAGGCAAGACCTTCAGCCCTTCTGTCTTCTGCTGAACGGGTTCCGCCTGTGCTGCTGGTGTGCTTGAAACAGTGCCGGTGGAGAACAATGAGGGTAACATTTTCCTTTCACGTGGTCACTATGTGAAATAATTTTCAAATACAGAAGCTGACTGTGGGTACTTCCTGCCCCCCTGTTGTGACACCGGAAGGGGCCGGGAGTTCCTGGCGCCCCGCTGAGCTTGAGCCCCCTGGAAAAAGTGTGGCATCCCCTCTTAGACCTCGGTAGCATGTCCCAACTTGCCATGTTGATAGATTTCTCTAGAACTTTTGCTTGTTACCAAAAATGACATCAACTTTTCTAAAACTGTCTTTCCATAATCAGCTGTATTGATTTTTCTCTCTGTAGGAGCTTGACTCAATGCTTGAGCACTTTCTAAGTCTAAAATGGACTCACTTTCCTCTGTCTTCCCAGACCCCCAATGTGTGCAGTGATCAATATACACTGGGTTTGAGCTCAATTCCATATATGTTTTTAAACAAAGGATCACAATACAAACTGATCATTACACTCATCTTGATAATCCATGGTGTTGGTTTTCTAGGAGCCTCAAGATTAGCAGAAATATGTAGATTAGAAAACTTCTCTTGGGACTATAAGTTAGGTTGGATCATTTGAACTTACTGTTCTTGTAGATCAAAAGTAGTCAAATATCTCCAATTTCATATGGCTCAACCTAATATCTTGGAAATCATTCAGGGATCTCTGCTTAATGGTGCAGGTCACATACTCAAGTCAAGTCTTTCTGCAGAGTGTAGATGCCTCTGTAAGGGTGTCACTTTTCTCTATCCATAATTCTTGCATAAAACTAGAGATAGCTGATTGAAGTCCTTATGCTCATATAGACACAAGCAAATGTTTCCTTTGTTCAACCGTCTTTCTTTGAATTTCATTCCTACTGTGGTTCTAAAATATGTCCACAATTCTTTGATACCTTCCCTTCAAAGGGTAGAGCTTAATCTCCCTCCACTTGAGTGTGGGCTGGACTTAGTGACTTAGTTCTAATGAACAAAACATCTTTCAAACTCTCCAAAGAACCTTAGGTAAATGAAAACTTAGGATCATATTGATGATAAGTATAAACAGTGTCTCCTAATTCTATTTTTTTTTGTTTCTGTGGTACAGAGACAAGGAAAGTAAAAATTTGTGTGCAAGTGACAAGTCTATCTTTTTTACAACTTTACGAAAGAGCAAGGCAAACACAGCCCCTAAGTGTTATAACCCTCTATGTTATCCAGAGATTTCTGTCTGTGGCTGTTACTCAGTTGACTCTGATTTGACAAGCTGGCATTTCCAAAGTTGAGTAATTATGACTCACATTAACTTGGGAGTTTTCTCTCTTTTCTAAGCCAAAGTGAATAAGGAACGCATTTCTTTCTTTCCCCAGAAATAATTAAGATCTCATGAGGCTGTTATCACATACTCCATGACAGTCTTAACCACATTGTCTCATTGTCACCCCTTTAAGAACTAGGCCAAGGCAGATTCGCCAGACTCACCCCAAAACTGCCCCTCAGCTCTTGGAGGTCTCCCCTCTGGGACTGGGGCTCCAGCCTTGAAGTCTTCTGAGGTCACACAATTAATTAGTCCTCACTTTCCATGTTCCCTTTTTGATAGCCCTACTTTCTAACTGCTAAACAGTTAATCCAAACAGATTTCTCTGGAGCTCCTGCTCATTGGTTCCAGTTTGCTCCCTGGAGCTACTCAGAACATCTCCCAGCCCCTCTGCAGGGCCATTCCTGTGTTGGGTACAGACAGCTCTCCTGGCTCCCCAGTTTTCTACAAGCTAAACTCACTCAGGCCTTTTGACAGGTCTCATAAAAATGAGTCAAAGATAGCCAGTGGTAGAGTTAGGATGCAAATCTTTCTGATTTTCAACCCTGTTTGTTTATACTAAACCATTCTGCAGTCCCTCTACCCATAAGTGAATATTTCAGTGTAATTAATTTTTCTGTCTTGCCTTTGCAATTCAAGAAATGTTTTTTATAGTACTTTGTGGTTTATAAATTGTTTTCATGAATGTTACTGCATCTGTGAGGTCGGTCTTATTATCTCTGTTTTATACTAGTGGAGATTGGGGTCAGAGAGGCTCAGAGACCGACTGAAAGGTCCTGGGTAGGGTCCCTGGCCAGCAGCATCAGTGTCACTCAGGGTTTGTGAGAAATGCACATTCTCAGGCCCTTCAAGACCTACTGAATCAGAAACTCTGGTGGTGGGCCCAGGGATCTAGCTTTTAACAAGGCATCTTGGTGATTCTGATGTACACTCAAGTGTGAGAACCACAGCCTCAGTCTACGGGTGGGTCATCTGTAGAAATTTGTTAGATTAAAAAAATAAACAGAAACAAAACACTGATGTACACTTGGACTCTTCTCCAAAATCCTCCCTAACTCCTCACTTTGACTCTAGGGGAAGTTGCTTTCATCATAAACCCAGACAATTACTTAGATTCCCTGAAATAAGACCGTACTGAACGCTTCATGCAAACAGCTTGTAGAAGCATCTTTATGTGTCTTTAAACACTTCGCTACTTTCATTATAGAGTGCGTATTACTTAGATTCACCCAAATAAGACTGTAATGAAAGCATCTTTCAAAAGAAAAAAAAATTAAACAAAACAGAACTAATCACAGGCCAATGGGTGTTTTTGTACAAACACATTTTGTCTTTTGTCTTTTGTAGATCGCATTTCAGAGGCGGAAAGAGATGAAGAACCCCCTCTCTTCAACAGGGCTGTGAGTGAGCAGTTAACTACTGCAGATAAAAAAACACTTCAGGAAGCAGTTAGTCCAGGTAATCTACATAGCAGGAGCTAAATAAGATACTTAAATACAGGGGCTGGCCTGGTGGCACAGTGGTTAATTTCAGCACGCTCTACTTCAGCAGCCCTGGGGTTCATGGGTTCGGATCCCGGGAAGAGACCTACACCATTTGTCAAAGCCATGCTGTGGCAGCAGCCCCAAAACAGAGGACGATGGGCACAGATGTTAGCTCAAGGCCAATCTTTCTCACCAAAAAAAGCCCACAAAAAAACAGATGACTTCAGAACGTGTCTGTTTGCCTTTCATGGTATTTTAACAGAATAGATGTCGGCATACCTTCAATTCACCCTCAAAAGCATATGAACTGCAGTTAAAATTATAAATTAAACTAACTCCAGGAATTTGACCCCCCTTTCACAAAGATACTACTTTTACATTGTTTCTACACAGCCATGGTCACTCAAAACATGCGCATCGTCTTCTGAGTCCCTGCCATGACTGGGCACCGAAGCTTGCTGACAGGCAGGAGACATTAAGTGCCCGGTGTTAACCTAATCCCTGATCTTCAACCTTGGATCACTTGAGCCTGGGCCCGTTCAGAGTGCGAAGAAACTCGCCCATTATGTCAACGTGCTGGGACCAAGCCCAGTTCACTCCCTCCATGTAGCCACCTGCTGTCACAATTATACCTGGTTGTCACTTCCTAAACCCCCAAAATTGAATGCTGAATCATTCCAACAGAGCCCTTAGAGTGGCTTGATGCTGCTGCCTCTTGACGTGGCACAGATGAAGGCAAAAATTGGACATGCACAATTTTTTCCCCATAACCTAAGAAGGCCCTTGGCCAGGGTTCTCCAGCCTCTATCACTAAGCTCCCCTCAGCAGCTCTCCACAATAAACCATCTGATTCCTGTCATTGTACCTCTGTGCTCTCTTTCCTTGAGTTCATTTGCTTTTTTGGTCACAATACAAATGGGGTGATAGAAGCTCTAGGAGTCCCCGATGTCAAGTAGGGTCTAGCTAAGATTGCCTTGCGCTCCAAAGCCCACATTCAGCAGCATTCCAAATCTACCTTCAAGATTTCTGCAAGTCCCCGGAGGGCTGTAAGAGCTTGGGGTCATCTCTGGCATTATGTTTGCCTTCTGTCATGAAATTCTCCCAAACCTACACACATCAGGCAGATCATGTGCCCAGGAGAATTTCCAGAAGCTGGAGGAGCGCAGGTTGGGGGGCTGGGGTGTGGGAGAGAAAAGGTTGTATCAGTGCCTGTGAAAAGCTTTAAACCAAATATTTGACTCCAGTCTTCTTAAAAAGCCATCACAGCAGGACTTTCTGCCACATCTAATGCCCCTGCCTCCTCCCATCTGAACTCTCCCCTCCTCTTCCCTCACCTCCTACAAACCGTGGTTTTTTCAACCTTCTTTTGGCTGCTTTACTGCTCTCCAGCGCATACCCTCAGCATCTCACCTCCACCACCAACCAGCATCTCCTCTCCCCTCTGAATGCTTTCCTAAACGAAGCTGGTTCCTTTCCCAAGAGGTTTTCGGGAGCCAGCAGCTCAGATGCTAAGGTTTTCATTTCTGCTGGAGGCAGAGCTCACAGGCCATCCCTGCAGATCTGTATGGGGTCCTCTCCCTCTGTTTACTCTGCCACGTGTCTTCTCATTTAGGTATTCGAAACGGGAATTTGCCGTGCGCGCAGCTTCTGCGCTTCCTGCAGAGGAACATTGTCATCGCTGCTGTCTCGGTGGCGGGAATCCTTGTGGTCACAGTGGTGGTGCTCCTTGGGCTGACCGCATGCATGAGGAGGAAACAGTGTTTGTGAGTGGCTCTTAGCTCCCACCTTCCTTCCAGGAACTCATAGGTGACTGTACCAACGTTGCCCCAGAGCTTCCTGCTGATCCCGGATTTAGGAGGCAGGCAGGAATCTCGAAGCCTGGCTGTGCATCAACCTTACCCAGCATCCTTCGTAAAAGTATAGGTGACCCGGACTACTGGGTTTTAGGCACTGCTTTGGTGGTTCTCATGCACAGCTGGCTTGGGCCATGCTTGTCTCTAAAGCCCACCACAGATTAGGTCACACCTATTCCCATACTGAGGGCTACTGAAAGAGGAGATGGTACAGCCTCTGGCTGAAAGACTGGAGAACAGGAGTATGGATGTAGAAGAGAAAGGAGGGGTCCAGCTCTGCAGGGGGAGGGATGAGGCTGTGGAGGAGACGAGAGCAGGGCTGGTACTTGGCCTGTTCACCTTGGCATAGCAGCACTGGTTAGAATATTGAAAGATGCTCTACTGGTTGGCGAACAGCCCTTTTGCAGAACCTCCCACCGATGTCCCAGTCTTCCTCATGCCTGCAAATGAGGCCTGGCTCAGCAGTGGCCCTCAGGGGCTCTGCTCCATCAGTGGCCATTTGACTAGTCAGTGCCTGTCTGTACCAGTTGTTAAATATTTTGATTATCCCCTGGTGAGAGGACTCACGCATAGTGACTTTACCCATGAGTAGGCACTTAGAAAGCAAATCGTTCACAAGACTGTGCATTTGCAGTAATTGCGCCTTGAAAGTATGTGCCTTGATCTGCATCCCTTGGGACACACATTCCTGATGAGGAGGAAGAGCAGCTCCCCACGGCCCCTCAGGTCCTGCCCGACATTGTGTTGGGTGCTCGGCTTGTCCGCAGAGAAAGGGGGCTGTGGTGTATGATGAGGGGTGAAGTGTCCGTCCTCTGTCCACCCACCCAACTCTGAGGCTGCAGTATTTAAATTTCCCCACACGTGTGGCATTGCTAGGTGTCCTTTAAAATGCCAAGGCTCCTGGGACTGGTAACACATTCCCAGCCACTACCACCTCACATCTCACTTCTTCCTCTGAGACAGGAATGGGTCTCCTGAAGCCAGGGGGAGCCCCAAAGGGCCAGAGAGAAAAGATTTTAACAGTTCCTGGAAATAAGCTTGACTCACTTCACAATTCTGACTGAGGCTTACCCCATAGGATTCCCCACTTCCCTTCCATGCCTGTTGGAGGTATCAAAAGAAGCGGTCAAGACTGTGGCTCCATCCCACAGAGACGGATCAAAGCTGTGGAGAGCCTGAGTCATGAGAAAGTGGGGGGAAAGGAGTTCCCCGGGGGCTCTGTGCTGCCCAGAAGCAAAATGAATTTCACAACCGCCAGACCTTCCTGGTGGGAAATTAGCAGCCTCAGCCCTCAGAAACATCAGCCTCTAGCGCCACCCAGCGAGCGGACAGTAGGAATTTCTGTACGTTTCGTTGTGCAATATGGTGTCTGTTTTATTTTAGATCCCCTCCGGCCAATATGACATATAATATTTTCATAATGAATGGAAAGAGTTTGTGGCAAAAGTCTCAAGAAAAGAGCCCCACAAAACATGCAGGAAAACAGAAACAGTTGAAGTGCAATTCCTGTGTCTAAGCCAGGTGGTGGGGCCAGCCAAACCACGAGCCAAGCCAGGACTAAAGCTGTGATGCAAGGCGATTCTCCATCCCAACACCACGGAGAGACAACTGGATTTCTGGCTGGGAGGTGTGCTTACAAAATGCCGACCTTCTCCTCTCAGTCTGGAATGGACCGAGAAAAAAATGTGTTACCACAGGATCCTTACAGTGGTATGGCATGAACGACTAGAATAGGAGACTCCGCACATCCGCCCGAAGACAAAACTGACAAACACTGGATTTTTTTTTATTTATTAAAGCATTGATTCATTTATTCAGCCATTCATTGAACGGATATTAATTGAACCCCTAATATGTACACAGTAGCACAATAGGAGGCAACCAAAGTTATCAGAAGCAGGCATGGCCTTCGCTGGCGTCTGAGGAGATGCCGACAGCTGGCTGAAGCTCTTTGGTAATCGATTTACGCCTTTTGTCCCGATTGCTAGAGGGGCTAAGGATAGCCAGAGGGGAAAGGAGGGGTGTGGGAAGGCACACCCGTGTTGCAGGAGCAAGCGGCCCTTGTAGCTCAGACAACACCAGCCCCTACCTTGGAAGGCGGGGTCAGGAGAGAAGGGGCGGTGCTGCCACCGCACGTGCAGCGGCAGTCGCCTCTCGGATCCACAAGCTCCAGGTCCCATCCACGCCTTCCCGCCGCAACTCGAAGGAGACGCGCACCCTCTGGTGGCACCAGAGGGGGGATGCGGATGGGGCGGCGCGGAGAGTCCGGCTCCGCGCACACCCGCGGGCTGGGCGGCCCGCCCCTCGGCCTCGCGGGGGTCTCAGCCCCTCTGGGATGCGGCGGAAAGGTGAGGACAGGAGCCAGATCTGAAGTCCTAGTGAGGCAGTGGTCAAGGGTGTGGCCTAGGCAAAGGGCCACCACCAAGGAGGGGGGGAACTGGCCCAAGGCACGCGTGAGGGGCGTGGCCTGAGGGCCGAAGCACAGGGTCACAGCTGGAAGGGGTTCGGGGTGGGGTGTGTTAGTCGCGGAGGGAAGGGGGTTCTAGGGCGGGGGTGGCCTCAGAAGGGAGGGGACACACTGGGGCGGGAGCTGCGGACACAGGGCGAGACCAGAGCAGAGAAGAACCCAGGGTGGTCCAACGGCCAGAGGCTTGGCCTAAGGGCCAGAGGCATGGCCTGAGTATAAGGGCGTGGCCTGCGCGCGCCCTCTTGGATACTCCGTCCGCGTGCTTTCGGCTGCTGGTTTGGTGCCGGCGAGGCACTGGTTGGTTTTGCTCAGACACCCACAGTTTTCCCAGCTGCAGACCTCCTGCAGGCAAGGCGCCCGCCCAGGCTCACCTGCCCTCCGGCTGGAGAGGACTCAGGGCTCCCACTAGCTGCTGGTCTCGCTCCTTTCCTAGGTCTCAACAAGTCTCTTGGGTCACCTTGCGGGCTTCAGCCTGAGACCCTTCCTCCGCCTTAATAAACTGCGCTTACTGAGAATCTGCTGTGTAGGTAAACGCCTTTAGGCGTGATTATCCTCTTATTTCCAGTGAGAAGGAAGGCTCAGACAGGTAAGGTCATTTGCTAGAGGTCACAGAGCCAAGAGGTCAGCCTGGGCTCTAACCCAGATCCGGGGGCTGTGCTGTAACCATTGCACAGCCCAGTCCCTGCCACCTCCTGAGTCTCCAGAAGGACCCTTGGGACCTACTGAGAAGGAATGAGTAGGAAAGATTCTGGTCTCCTTTTTTGGCAGATGGAGTGGGTGAAACAGCCCTAGGGAGATAGAGATGGTTCTGAAAAATCCAGGCTGGTGGGTGGCTCAGATCAAGAGCTCCATCTCTAGTTTTCCCTGCTGCATGGTTCTCCTTGTTTGTGCTGCCAAACTAGGGAAGCTCCCCAAACTTTAAGCTATGTAGAATTGGGGGAGGGGGCAAGGCCAGGGTGGGTCTGAGTGGGACGTTTCTCTGCACTCCTCGCCCCCCAGTGAAGAATCAGCCTCATTTTTTCTTGTCTGAATCCTACTGGCCTGGAGAATGGGCCAGCTCCAGAGTGATTGTGACCCTTTAGGTCCAGGTTAATATCCATGGACAAGCCCCACTGGTTTCAGCTCGGGGCAAACACCTTGGACCCTCCAGCCTACATTCCACTTCAGTTCCAAGGGTCTTCCCTTTGAGAAGTGGGATGCTCTGTCCTCTTAAAAAAAAGTGTAGGTGCCGGCCTGGTGGTGCAGTGGTTAAGTTCGCACGTTCTGCTTTGGCAGCCTGGGGTTCACCGGTTTGGATCCCGGGTGTGGACCTTTGCACTGCTTGTCAAGCCATGCTGTGGCAGGCGTCCCACATGTAAAGTGGAGGAAGATGGGGCATGGATGTTAGCTCAGGGCCAGTCTTCCTCAGCAAAAAGAGGAGGATTGGCAGCGGATGTTAGCTCAGGGCTAATCTTCTTCTTCAAAAAAAAATTTAAAAAAAGAAGTGTAATGCTCTCTTTGCACCTAATCCTTAGAAGCTTTGAGAACTTGGAATTGGGACTAATGGCTGTAGGAAGGGACCCTTCCAAAGACAGCCCTGAGAGATACCTACTCAAGGCAAGTTTGTTGTGGCTTCCTCACACCTGTTCCAAAGGGTCCCTGCCTTCTTCCCCCTCACAGAAGGCATTTCCCAGCTAAAATCTCAGCCTAGTTTTCTGACGTCATTTGGCTGGTGTCCTGGCCATTTCTAAAAATGTTAGTCCACCCTCAATCCCACTTCTGACACCTCTTTAAGACACCTGCTTCATCCCAGGCCTGCCTTGGGCCTCCTCCCCACAGAGAGGCACTGTATATAGCTAGCTGAGCCTCAGGGCACTCTGGGAGACCGCAGCCCCTCTCCCCTCTGTGGGCCTCAGTTTTCTCTGCTACAAGATGGGCAATCTGACATCTGTGAGAGCTTGCATGAGATGCCCCATCACTGGGCAACAATGACCACATCTCTGTGGACCAGGCACGAGGCCCACACTTTACATATGTTATCCAGTTTAAACAGTAAATCATTTCTCCCTTTGCCTTGAGGGACAGAAGATGTTTCTTCAGAAAATAAAAGACTGAATTCAATATAAAGCGGTGCCAACTGCATGTGCCAAGCTTCCTGTGCTTGGGGTTCCTGTCCCCACCTGAAAGCTCCCTTCTTTTTCTGGGTACCCTAACAACATCATCATTGTTAGGGTAATCTGGACTCAGTACATCTTGGGACGTAGCTTCAGAATTCTTTAGAAATTCATTACAGGGCTCCATAGTTA